CAGCTTTGGGCAGAGCAAGTAGTGTGGCATTTAAAGCAGCACTGGTTTGGCCAGCTTGCCTGCGAGGGTCTGGCCCTTCTTACCTGAGCAGAGCAGGTTGGAACAGGTCGTGCAGACCTTGGCTGGGGCTGGGGTCAGTCCTGCTCCATCTGGGCAGAGCTTGGCTGCAGCAGTTGACAAAAGATGCTGTTTGGTCCAACAGGCTACATGCTCTGCATGTTTTCCTCTGACCTGTTCTGTCAAGACAAGGCTACTGCAAAGCCAAAACACATTGAATGGAGTTGTTCCCTAAGGGTGAGGGAGAGGTACCGACTTCCTCAGGAACTCAGTTACCTGCTTCTTCACACACTTTCAGTGGCAACCTCAGGAGCATCTGAGAGGGAAAGCCAGACCTAAAGCTGACAACTTGCCCAGTCAGCAGCTCAGGGAAGGCTGCCCTCAGGCATTTTATGTTTTCCTTCCCTTTTGGGGTGGTGTTGCACCTGCAACTTAGTCTGTAAGGAGTGTCTCCCATCATCCTTATTACTTACATCCACAAGGCCCAGGAAAGACTCCTGAGTCTTAAGCATAGAAAGAAGATTCTTCTTCCCCTTGCATTTGTTTGTAGGAGTCTTATCCACTTGTGTGTCAATGCTGTTGCTGTCAATCCTGAATCAACAGTCACTGTGAGACAAGGATTTATTGCTCTGAAAAAAAAAATAATAATCAAGGCAAGATAACAAGGTTCCCAATATTGGTCAAAGTTTTTAAATGGTGAAATCTGAGAGGAATGAGCAAAGAATAAACACCAAAGTTAAAACAGACATATCTAAAAAACCGTATTATATAGTTAACAAATCTATATAAAACATTTTTCTAAGTTATTGCAGGAACAAGAGATGAAGTTCTTCATCTGACTGGTTCCATTATATCTTTACAATATCAGAACTGGGTAATTGGTTCCAACTTTGGTTACAGCAACCCAGCAAAACTCCTTTTGTACTCTCATGATTTGATTGAGGTCAATTCAGATCAAGGTGAATGTTTTTGAGGTTTTCAAGAAACGATGAAAACACTGTGTTCAAGTGCTTCTAAAAAATAAATAAAGTAACATGGTGTCTAATGTTTTCTCTCAAGGTAAAGAGCAACATATCATCACTTAATGAAACAGGTCAGGCTGAAAAATGTCACCATTAATCAGGTAACTGTACTAGACCTCCTTGGCCCTGCTACTTTGCTCTGTTAAGCAGGATGCAGAAATGTATTTTACTTTTTTATTTAAAAAACAAGACAACTTTGCCCAGCTTTCTGTGTAACCTGAAAATAAATTTTAGCACAGCTCTTAAGGACCTGTTTACTCTCAGACTTCAATGCAGTTTGATTTCCAGCTGTGCTGGGATGAAAGTTTGATTTTGGGTCAAACTCCATGAGGACAAAGTTCAAGCTTTTGTTACACAATGAAATCACACAGGCTCTGCACAGCAACCCAGGCTGTAAAAATGTCAACATTACCAGCAAACTGAGCATCAAGCTACTTCATTTGTTATTTTTACACCACTGCCTCCTTGATTAGCTTCGATTAGCTTTCCTAGACTACATAAATATGTAGCCCTTTATGACCTTTTGCAAACATAGGGCTTTTCCAGGAATCTTCTTCAGTCTAAATGATCTGTCCCCACAACTGAAAAAATCATCCTGAACTAGAAAAGAATCTCAATCAACTTCTTACAGTTGAGAACTTTTCATCAGGGAAGTATGTTGGTATTTCCTTAATGGGACAGAAGAGAAAGGGAATGGGACAGATGAGTTGCAGGTACCTTATACAGTTATTTGTGAGAAGATGCTACAGCACAGATTATGAAGGTCTTTAGTTCTTAGTTTGGATTCAAGAGCTAAGCAGGAACCTAGCAATTACTGACAAACAAACCACAAACCTGTAACCACCTCCTCCTTTGGCATCAGGTCAGAAAAGGCTCATGCCCTAATATGATTTTGTGGGAAACTGGGGACTCACAAGCCTGTCTGCCCAAGAAATCAGGGATCAGATCTCCAAATGGAGAAAACACAACAGGAGTAATGTGCACATTATTTGGCAAAGGACAACTAACTTGGTGGAGTTTAAAATCATGGCCACCTACACACTGCTTAGTACATGATTTGCCCTCAGTAGCTTTCAGCAAGCAATGAGGTAGTTGAGTTCAAGAAAGGAATTCAGGGCTTATTTTCTCCAACATACTTAAAGCACTAACAATCTGATTCAAATCTACCTCACCCCTTTTATATCCCAGAGATTTAGCAACTCCATGTACTCAGTTACCTCCTGGCACAGCCCACTTCAACAAATGTCCATTTAGATTCTGAACTCTGCTGTTGCAGAGTTGTTTTTGCTTTTCTGCAACAGCAGAGTTGCTGTTGCTTTTGTCTACTCAAGTCCAAACACTTTGGAAAAAACAATCTAGGAATAAAGGGTACACACCCATGAGAAGGAGAGGTGCTCCTGGAGAAGCTGGAATTTCAAAACATAAGCTTCAGATTAATTTTCAGTGTTATAGATGTACACCTAAAATAACAACATGTTCAACAATTCTCCTTTGTAAACTACTGAAAATGGTATTGCAACCACTTGCCAAAGCAGTGTTTGATTTTTCTTGAGCAGAACAGCAAATCCAAACACAAATGAGATTGTCCACATGACATGACACAGTCTCTCTATTTTCATGGTAAGTAGCCATAAATGAATTTATCATCTTGTTTGTTTTAAGGAACAGTATTATTGTTCATGTGTTGGCAAACCCTCTCGACACCTTTTGAGCAAGGCGAGTTTTACTGTACTCGTCATGGTCAGTTTAGCAGCACAGTACATAGGTCAGTCTCCCAAGCACAACTCCATTGAAATGAGTTAATAGCATAACAGAATACGCTGAGTTGGAATTGGTGATCCTGATGGGTCCCTTCTAACTCCTGTCCCTGTGTAGGGCACCCCAAGAATCTTTAGAATAGCTTTCAAAGCAAAGGTAGCTGCAGAAGGTTCCTACTACCTACCCCATTCTATGTCCTCTCAACATTACAGCAGCAGAGGAAAGTTTCCTCTCTCTTCCTCATTTTCTACTGCTTGATTTTTTCTGTTTTGACACCATCCACATTTTAGCCTACCTACTACTCTAAATTAGTATAGCTTACATTAGAATTTATTAGTGATAATCATTTGTGGGCATGGGGAGACAAAGGCCATCTGAAGTTAATAAAATACCTGTCCATGTTGAACACTCCACTAAAACCTCCACAAGGCCACATCACAGAGCCCTTTTCCCCCTGTGATCAGTAGGTGCGTTTATCTACTGTTTTGTAAAAGTACAATGAGGCATGAGGCCCACACTTCCTCACCTCTGGGAAATAAGGCAGGGGTTTAGGACAAAAGTAACTGCAATAAGAAAAGCAGACCAAATGACTAAGTTCTGAAGTAGATACCATTACCCAGAACTTCAACAGTTTCTGCATGATCTCCAAAGAGATGAAGGTACGAACTACTTAGATGAAAAGAAACTATTTGAAAACATGGCACAGAAGACAGACAACATCTCACCAAAGGATTTTAAATTCAGTTTTATTTCAGAAGTAAAAGAGGAAGACAATACAATTCGTTTCAAAATTAAAGGTTTAGCCTTGCTTATTATTTTCCAAAATTCATTAGGATTCTAAGCTTCAGCAAGGAAATTCCCACCCATTCATAGAATCATAGAGTGGTGAAGGTTGGAAGGGACCTTAAAGTTCATCAGGTTCCAACCTCCCTGCTGCACAAGCCTCATCCAACCTGCCCTTGAACACCTTCAGGGATGGGGCTTCCACAACCTCCCTGGGCAACCTACTCCAGTGCCTTCCTACCCTCATCGTGAAGAATTTCTTCCTGATGTCTAACTTAAATTTCCCCTCTTACAGTTTAAAACCATTGCCCCTGGTCCTATCACTGCCCTGGTAAAAAAAAATAATAAAAAAAAAAAAAATATATAAGCACCTCCCCAGCTTTCCTGAAGCTCTTTCAGCTCCCACCTGCTTCATCAGCTAAAAATCCCACAGAATCCCAGATCAGAGTGGGGTATCAGTTAATATTATTATATTGCATCTATATCACAGCTGATTTTTCACAACAGGTTAGTAGTTCTCGAAATTCTGTTATTGAAATTACTGCCATAATTTGATATTGCATCTATTGATCAAGTCAGAGCTAGTTTTCAAAGTGCTTAATCTTGAATTTGGCTAAGATAGAAATATTAATGCATTGGGAGATTAATTTCTCAAACACTTGGAAAATATTTTTCTATTTAAATTCTTACAGGTTAGAAAGAACCATTTCCCCCCTAAAGAACTCTAAGATGTAATCAATTTAGTTGTGAAGTGTATGTAACAGGAAAAGCTATTTTCTTATCTCCCTTAGGTCAGCTGTATTCCAACCTAGCATTACTAAGCAAAGATTATCTTAAAATATATATTGGGAATAAAATACATATATTTAAGCCTGAACCTTCTAGTTAGCTTCACTTCAAACATAACAAATGAGACATCACCAGTATTTTACTTGCATATAATTGTATTTCTGGAAGGCCAAGAATGAAATTCCAAGGAAGTGTCTACATACATCCAGATAACTATTTTATTAGAAATACTGAGCATAACAACTTTTTTAACATGAACAAGTTTATCCATAAGGATAGTCACAGTATCATTACAGAAGCTCTATTGTGCGATTTAGTCAGAAAAGTTTTACAGTAAAAAAATCAAATATTTTGATGAAATTTACATTCACTTCTAAAAATGAAGACAATTTTAGTAATTCCTTTAAAAGACCATGTGTTGTTAACAAGCAGTAAAGCACTAGTGATGAAAGGCACTAGAATCGTTAGCTTGTATTACCTAGTTTCCAATGCAGACACAGGCACTTGAAAGCTTAATTTATCAGGCCTGTAAAACACTTCTGTATTTGTGTGGAAATCTGCTACACTCATTAACATCTTCATCAGGTTGTCCTGTGCTTGAAAAGATGCAAAACTCAGAGTGAATCTCTGCAGCATGCTTTACAAGTTGGATCTTTCTTTGGCAGACACACGAGATGTGGACTGTGTATATGTCCTAATTACATCCTAAAAATAATACAAAAGAAACATTCAGAGCAAGTTCCATTAAAAGTAATTAGGGCAACTTCAGAAAAGAATTAGTACTTGCAGCAACAAGTTTGTTGTTCTGTGTAGTAAGCAGGAAGCCCAGGAAAGGCTTGTGGAAGTGTTTCATTACCATTACAAAGAGTGGGTAATAATTTGGTCTGAAGAACCAACACACTGCATATCACACAGAGTTATCTTCCAGAAGCCTTAAAAAAACCCAACTGAAACAAAGTAATTGCACATCATTGGTTAATCAGCACTTAATCAAATGTAATTAGTGATGTTTCCTCATTTTGCAATTCTACATGCACTTGATTTTGCTATTTTAATCAAGTAGGAATCAAGACCAATTTCTCACTTTGTTGGATTTGCAAAAGTTAGAAATCATTCATCACCACTCAAAATGCAACTACAGAAAACATCAGCATACTTTTTTCCCACTGTCAGCATTGTATTTGTCCAGCAAAGCCTGGATACGGGCACCATAGTCAGGATGAACATCAGTGAAGTTTTTCACCTAAAGAGGAAGACAGAACAGAAAAAGCAAAAAGAATGTTTTTTCTCCACTTCAAAAGTATTCTCCAACACATTTCCTGCTCTACAGTCTGCATGCAGTTCTTATTATGATAAGGAGAAAAACCCTTTTCTGAAATTAAAGGAGCTATGAACATCTTCAAACATTAATTCTGTTGTTTCACACAGAACTCTTTCCTGATGTAAACAAAGTTTCCATGGGAAGGATAAAGATCAAATCCTCCCCTGGCCCTCCCTGAATGCTCAACATCAACCCCATTCTTCACATCAGGAAAAAGTTACTTTAACATGTTATGCATTATGTATATTACATTATGTAAATATACATACTGGTGAGTTCTGTATTGAGAATTTCTGCACAAGGAAAATCTAGAAACTGCCTTCTCAGAGAAGAATTCCTGATCCTCCTTTCCGTAAGTATATTGCCATTTGGACAAGCTTACTAGACTGCAAAAAAGCCTGGAATAAAGAGCAAAGGCTAAAAACCAAACAGGTCACTTACAGCTCTCTTCTGAATGAAGAGCTGGGCATCTTTCAGATGATCAGCAATATTTTGACACAGCCTCTGGCGTTCATCCTCCTTCAGCACTTTGAGATAAAATTCTCTCACCTCAAAATAGGAAGCAAAGATTTATTTTGAAATTCCCAAAAGCAAGTCATTATAACTGGGACAGTCAGCAACACTTACTAGACTTTCAGGGTTCATATTATAGAAAAATAATAGCCTTTACTTACTAGTCAGGCAACAATTAAAATACTCAAAGTACTTGAACTCAAAAGACAACCAGTTTGTTGTTTGGTTTTGGTCTTTTTTGCAAACCTACTAAAAACTCATATGTTTAGCTTGAACTAACTGTTTATCAATGAATTAATGAAAACAAACACTGCTCTTGGTGTCCCATTCAGGAATTGATGACTGTGACATTGCATGCATACTTCAGCCTGCATATCTGGAGACAATAATCAGAAGATCAAGTCACAAGCTCTAGGTAATTTGTGTTCAGTGTATGGAGGGCAAAGGGCTGTGAGAATTCACCAACTGCCCTGTCAGCAAAAATTCACTTATTCATGAAATTAAACTGTAAGGAGATCATCCAAGCTCTCACAAGACCTTAGCTTCAGGTTAGCTTCAGAGAAAAGTCATGTTTGAGTGAGTCTTGTTATTATTCTCTAGATTTATCCTACAAACTCACCTGATGTAGAAGGCACTATAAAGGTTTTTCAGATCTCATACCTGAGTCACATTGTCTTCATTTGCACTGTTGAAGCGCTGCACATCTCCCGAAACACACACACGACTCTCCTTCAACATGGGCTGATCTTCTGGACCAGTAAAACTATTTGGGTAATAGTTTGGGGCACCACCTGAAGACAGCAAACAGCCCCCCAAAAACAATCAGATGCCAGCTCCCTCAGATCAAGTCAGAAGACTGAAAATCATCTTTGCCCAGAAGATTCTAAATCAAATGCCCAATTATGATTCATGTTATTAAAACCAGTTATCAGCACTTTTCTGTCACACACAGCTGGACATCAGGACCTGTGTCTTCAAGCCAGTAACTAATAGTACTTATTACAAAGAGAATTTCAATAGGTTTTCCTGGGGAAAAAATTTGATTTGTTTCAGAAATAAGGAGGTCTGGCCATTCTCACAACACTAGACAACTTCAGTAGCTAAAAAGTCAACAGCTCAGACAACTTTAGCAGCTAAAGTCATGAAAGTAGTTCAAAGTTTTAGTCCACAGCATAAAAATACACTTTTATCCACGTATTTGCAGTACTGTTAATCTTCACTATGTAGAAGCTTTATTTTAAATACATAATGAACTTCCAGAACTGCATAAAAATAAACTACTTCTCTGTTCTCAGAGAGAGGCAGCTGTTCTGAAGTTTTCATGTTACAAGTGTTTCTCTCTCCTTCCTCAGCAAGTCTCAGAATTCATAGCCCAGAGGACTACAGTGTCTTTGGCACAAGGCACAGCTTAAGTATATTCTTGTTTGCTCTTGGGCATAAACCAGTCACTTTTGGGAAAATGCTGACAGAACAGAACGTGCTGAGTGGAGGCAAAGCTCTAGGCTTGGCATTTACACTCTTGGCTTTCACAATCTCTCAGAAATCAGAAAGCAAAGCAGTTTAACAAAGAGGACTGAGGCAATGAAAGCCAGGCTCTACATTTAAAAAATGCAAACACAGATTTCTCAAAGGCATTTAGGGCACCTCTGTTATTTTAGAATAGATTTTTGCCTAGAAGTAGAAACAGAGAGGTAGTAATTAACTTATGTGAAACAATTTCCCTGGCATATTTAATTCTAGAGAATTGAGATTTCAGATCTTTTTCCTACTAAGTCCCCTTCGAAAAACATGTTTCTAGAAGTCTTTAAAGGAACATAAGATAGGGACATTACTGAATTCATTTGACTGGGGGTGTTCTCCTGTAAACCTCCTTTCTCTTAAAGGCCTATTTGCAACTTTTTAAACCCATCTGAAGCTTCACATGTTTTTTACACTTTTAAACAAACACCCCACACCTATCCAAATATCTAAAGTCTCCTTTCTTGGATAAATAAGAGTTGTACATCCGTTCTAAACAAGTATGTAAAGATGACAAACATTCTACTTTTCAGGAACAAAGAACCACCACCACCCCACATTTACAAAATAAAAAATGAGTATTTCTAGCAAGTCAGCACTACACAGACAGAACTGAAAACACATACAAACAACAAACTATCAACCACTTTAAACAGGCCGAAGTTGTCTAAGGTACATCCATATGCTCATTTTAAAGTCTTAAGAATAATAAAACATATACAGTGGGTGGACACACGAAGAAGAGTGATGAGGACAATAAAACATTCAGATTTAAGAATGCTTTCAACAAGATCCCTCAAACAGGAGGGCTAACAGGGTAAAAGTCTGTATCTCGTCAGTCAGCATCAGATCAAGAACATAAGAAAGAAGGTGACTTTTTTTTAGTAAGAATCAGGTAGACCTTCCTCAAGGATCTGTGTGAGGACAGTACTACTCAACACATTCATAAAGTTACCTGAGAATGGAGCAAACTGACAGCTTTGACTCTAAAAACTTAAACTTAGTCAAAATCAAAGCTAGTTATTTATACTGACACAATTTCATTCTAACAAAACAGCAGGTGAAAACTGCTTTTCTGAAAATATTTTACCATGTAATTCACACGGGGAAACAGAAATGCACACAACTTTATACATGCACAATCAAGGGTTCTCAGACATGTCATTACCAATCACAACATAGATCTTGTATTTATTTGGATAGTTTGAAGTTAATTACTTCATGATTGCTGGCAAGTGCTGAGTTGAAGCATTAGCAACATGGACAAATTTAGGGCACTCTGCAGAAAAGAGCACATGGTGGATTCCTATGAACTGCAGGCAAGGCCAATTAATCCCAAAAGGATCTAGTAATATAAGGAAAAGTACTAAATGGTTGAAAAAGATTGAGATATAAAGAACAGTTTTCACATGAAATGAAAAAAAAAAAAGACTGGGAAGTCTGAAGCTCAGGAAGTTACACAATAATGTTTGAGCTGGGGGGAAAAGTCACAAGAGACATTGAAGGATTGAGGAGAAAAAGTAGCATTTCTTACAGTCTGCTATGTTATTAATATCCAAAAAAACCCCATCTGTTTAGCAGGTATCTTAAATCCCCCGTAAACAGAAATGAATTCTGCAGTACATGCATAAGTGTCATTATTTTAAAAGATATTTTCATTACTACCTTGGTTATCAGAAACGCACATTGGTCCATCCCTCTGGTAATTGGCCACACGAGTTCTGAAGGGGCAGTTGACAGGAATTTGTAGATAATTAGGTCCCAGACGGTGTCTGTGAGTGTCAGGATACGAAAAAAGACGACCCTAAAACATTTATCACAGACATTAACTGCTACTTGCTGAAAGAAATCACTTAAGTGGCATATGCCAATTGAAAGCACTATGCATGAAGTAGGAAAAGGGAGAAGACTGTTTCCTTTGCATATATAGGCCTGACATACTTCAAACAATGCTCAAAGTAACACTCAGCCACAAAGTAACTTTGCTGGAATACCAGGGAAGAATATCAGGTGAAGTTGCATTTATGCAGGTGGGATGTTTTCTTCTTCCTACTCATTATCAATGTTAGATTTAAAAATTGATTACATCTGAAATATGGGAGTCCTTTATTTATTTACTAAACTGAATCTGAAGCAGTTCTAGAGACATAAAGATGTCGAGAAGATAGACTGCTTCTGACCATGAAGCCTGTGGCAGCAAATGAGAGGCAAAACAAAAGAACTGCATGATGGTTCAAGAGTTTATCCAGTTAAAACTGTCAAAATACCTTTCTGTTGTCACAGACATAATTTCAAAGAGCAATCTGATTTTAATCTGAAAAAACAGAACACAAGCACCTATGACCCTGCAGACAGAACATTTTACTGCTGCCAATCTTATCAGATACTTTCACCTGTAATAAAATCTGACACCACTTCTAAAGAATAGGCTTGCTGTTTGTATCAGGGATTAGTTACACTTGTATTTTACAGCACTTGAAATCCACTCCTCACATACTTAAAGAGTTTAGAATTCTAAGTTATACTGTAAAAGCATGAAAAAATAATGCATTACTGCTTTGGTTTTATCCCACACTTCTTGCCAGACTGACAGATCTCCACATCCCCTTTGATAGTTGTTGCAGATGCCCTCTACATTCTAATTATCTATTCCTTTAGTTCCGGCCTGTTCTCTTTACAGTCAAATTTTGGGTGAGTGAAACAAATGGTGATTCATTAAAAAATAACCACAAAAAAAAATTAAATTATCAGTTGCTTTCCACTGGTCAGGTTAGGAATGCTTTCCTAAACAGAAACACAAACAAGAATGCTCTTCAGATAAAGTCTTACGTGCATTGCAGTTTACCTGCAGCATTTTATCCGGGCTAGGTTCAATACCAGGGGGCATGTTGCTGGGATCATATGCCATCTGTTCTACCTCTGCAAAGTAATTTACAGGATTCCTGTTCAAGACAAGCTTTCCCACAGGGATGAGAGGGTAGTCACCATGTGGCCAAATCTGTAAGACATAACACACACACATTACAATCAACATGATTACAGTATTATGCAGCTTAAGTAATTATTAGGCAACATGTGCCCAATTTAAAATACACTACTGAAGAAATGTATTTTTTGCTAAAATAAGACATTTCTCAAAATATTTTTTAAGAACTCTTTTTGATTTTAGAACTTATTTCATCATCCCTGCAGAACCTCTGCCCTTGACTACTTGAATTAAAGGCCCACAGATGCCTGAAAAACTCTCTGGGAATGCAATATTGTGGGTGGAACTGGTAGTATGATTGTTTTCAGCTACTTCAAAGCACAACCAGCTGAACTAGCCTCTTCTTTGCCACCTTAGCGTCTACTTCCAATTTCAAAAGTCTTAAGTCATTTTAGCACAGCAATATTAGAGCACAAAAAAAGTAATTCAAGTTTCCATTAGTATCTTTCAACAGGCTATTCCTTGGAACAGCAGATGGAAGACAAAAATCAGATCAACAATCTGAAGCTACATCATCAACAACATCTAAAACTAGTGAGCTCAGGGTTGTGTCTATATGATCCAAGATCACACTTTGGAAATTCAGTGCATTTGCAGGCCTGGAATCAAGCTCTATCCATATTTCACTAAAGAAGAGTAACACCAGATACATCAACAGGATTTTATCTCCAGAATTGCCAATTCTTCATGACCATATAAATAAAGAGAACACTTTATTGACAGGGACTAGTAAGAAAACAGTGTTACTCCATGGAAACTGCTATACTTACTTTACAGATAATCTCAGTTCTGGCATTTGTTGCCTTTTGATCTTTAACTACCTGAAACTGAATACTTGCAGCAGTATGAGAAATACCTTAGTTAAATCAAAAGGATTAAATGGAAACTTCTCTGCTTCTTCAAATGTCATGACTTGAATGTAGAAAGACCACGATGGATAGTCCCCCTTAGCAATGGCATTATAAAGATCACGGATTGCATAGTCTGGGTCAGTAGAAGCCAATCTTCCTGCTTCTTCAACAGAAAGATTTTTGATGCCCTGGTCAGTCTGAAAGCAACAAAAGCAGTGGCACCAGTTACAACATGCAGAGAGTATTACAGAAACCATTAATAAATGTACTTTAAGAAGACCTAGAACCCAGAGATGTGATTGTCCATGTTCCAATTTCCAATAATTCGAGTTCAGAATAATAGTACATTCCACAGCTATCCACAGATAAAAATCAGTTCTGATAGAAATTAACTAAGTGTGTAATGCTACACTGCAGAACACAAGATATCAAACTTGAAGGTACGATCCCTGCAGCACATCAAGTAGAGAGGTTTCCCCTCTTCCCTTATAGGACAGAGTGCTCCTTTATTGTCCCATCATCCCACCCTTTCCTACAGATGACATACCATCTCAGAGTGATAAAGAGGGAACTTGTACCTGAAGAAGCACCTTTTGAATCCAAACTACTTTGTAGCCATGACCACGAAAGAGGAACACATCACACACTTAATAGAACATATTTCCAAAGGGCTAGAGAACTCTTGCATCTGCACTGAATGACAGCAAGGGAGTCTATAGGAAGTTCTTGCACAGCTTTACACCCAAAACACCTTATGCTGCGAGGCTGAAATGCAGTAGGCTGAGCTAGATGTTCAGAGCTCACCACACAGTAGACCAAGCTCTCCATGATAACACAAGACAGTTCCCCAAAGAAGAGTTCATTACAGCCTAGTAAATACCTACTGTCTCATAGCAGGAACAATGGTGCCCATGATATTAGTTAAAGGTATGTAGCTGATCTAAAAAAACCTCTTTTTGATTCAGTCTATGCAGTAACTTGTCTGAATTAAGCTTGAAAACGCTGCCACTGTCACTGAACAGGAAAGACACCTAAAGAGAAGGATCAAACAACATTAATGGACTCACCAGATCAAGGATAAAGTGACCACTCCAGACAAAGGTAATTTATTACACTAATATGTACCACTGGAAGCTATCTTCGTGTTATGAATTCCTTGAGGAGTTTCTAGTTCAAGTTTTAAGAGTGTTAACAAAACATTCTTTGGTTTTGCACGAAGAACAATTGGGAATTAAACCTACATGAAGTTTTAGGCCCACCTGAAACAATCAGTAAATCATAATGTTATGATTTCCCCTGTAAGAACAGAGCAGTTACACATGGATAATTTAAGTTGTAAATATAAATAAGAATTTTTTTCCAGGTAAAGGAACTTTAGTTTTCAGTTTTTTGTCTTAACTTCAGTCCTCAAGCAGTAAACATACGACCATGCAAACATGGTAAGAATGCTGCTTTCTTTAGGTTTATGTTCACAAATACTGCTTGTGGTACTTCTTTTTCCAACTAGTAATTCCTGGAAGGCTTCTGTATGAACCCATTTTCTTAAAAAAAACCCTGCATTTTTAAATTCTGTGTTAGCTTTTTTGCATAATATTTTTAGATACAAATACATTTCAGTGTAATGCATGTACATTCTTATTTAATTAAATAACAAGCTTTAAATAAGCTTATACGTGATAGAACTAATTTCGCAGTACTTAGTGTTCTCAAACATTGTTTGTTGTTCATCAGTATCACCACTGCTTTAGTATTACAAAACCCAGCAACTTTCCCTTCATCACTATATAAAATATGATTATGAAAACAGAAGAATCCCACTCATTTCATAAAGTCCTTAAAAGAAAAAAGACTTGATACACATGCTAATAGCCTTAAAAGTTACTGTAGGCTTTTCACCTTTACTGCTCCTTGAAGTCTACATAGACTTCTAGGTAAAAAATGGAAAAAGAGAGAGTTAAAAAATAATCTGCTGTCGTAATGTGATTTTCTTCATCATGCTAAATCAGTCAAAAGGAGAACCTTACTTGATGCAAAGACTCAGGGCGAAGACTCCAGAAGTCCCACATCATGTCAGGATCCCTTAAGTGAGTCTGAGGGTTCCTCTTTTGGCTATGAATGAAGGATGGAAACTTGAATTGTCCAGAAGTGGAAGAGAAAGGAAGGAAAAAAAAGTTAATGAGACACTTCACTGTGAAAGGAATAGCATAGAGACAAGACAAAATTGTAAGATAACAGAAAAAAAAACTTATATTGTCATACCCCTCCTGCAATCAGATTCACCCACAGACCAGTAAGCTTTTAAAGTGAAGTCTCCCCCCTGCAAACAGCCTCACAATGAAAAACCTGTCCAGAGTAAACCAGCTAATTTGAGCACCAAAGAAAATTATCAGAACTGAGTTAAAAACATGATAATATACTTAATTGCTGGCTATTATCCAGTGGCATATGCACTAGCAAATACAACTTCATAACTTAATGTAATCAAGTAACGAAGCATTAGTCCTTTATTTATTTTTAAATAATACCTTTTCAAGTAAAAAATATTCAGACAATCTAACAACAAAGTTTAAGTGGATAAAAAAAAAGCTTTTGCTTCTCAGCAAAGCAAGAACTTTGGGACTCTTTCACAAAGTACCCCCATCTTTCTGTGCTTACTCACCAACATTGCATCCCGAATAAAGAAGATAGGAGTATTATTTCCCACAAGATCCCAGTTCCCCTCTTCTGTATAGAATTTCATTGCAAAGCCTCGAGGGTCACGAACTGTATCAGCTGACCCAGATTCTCCAGCTTGAAGAAACACATGAACATATAGAAGTGTTATGATAAGAAATACATAGAAATGTTAAGCATAAAAACACAGATGTTGAGAATATGCCATAAAATCCTAAAAAATCAGGGTTTATTAATTTAAGCAGTTTCTATACTTCCAAAGTGTGAACAGACACTCACCCAAGCATTTGGGACACAGTTAAAATACAGAAAAGCCAAGTATATCCACTTGAACCAATTAACAGTGGAACCTGCATCATCACTAACACAGACAACACCAAATTATAAGGTTGAATCAGCTCAACACCACATTAGTTTCTGTGCATCAAATCCCAGTTTGAAAGCTCTCACTGGGAAGGCAGCAATCTTACTAGCGTGCCTAATTAAAAGAGAATTTATAATAGAAGAACTGCAAGCCTTTTAATTTCCCTTCTGCTTTATCCAAAACAGCCCTTTCAATGGGTAACTATACCAGAGGAAAAAGTGCCTGACACATTACCTGAGTAAAAGTGTTCCAGAAGTATTCAGGAATAGCTAATGCTCAGAATCATGTTGAAATAAGAAAAACATTCATTCTCTCATTAAAAAAAATTGTATACTACAGAACAACTAGGGAGAAACATGTTCAAACAGAGCAGGGAAAGGAAAGGTGCCACAACCCACTTCCACACGTGGTCCACAGATATAATTAATATGCTTTAAGATTGTTAGTTTATGCATTCAGCTCTTCAAAAAATAAGAATTTACATAAGATTGTCTATTCTTTGTTGCCTAGTACTTAGTATACAGCATTCAGTCCTAAAACACTGCTACAGTGTTAAAATAATGTAGGTATTTAACTTCCAAGTGTTAAACCACAGCATGAAAGTGCTGATTATAATCCAGCCAGAAACAAAGCAAGGCTTCTGTCAGTAAAAAAACCAACAAAACAGTTCAGCCTATCCTTTTCTTCTCACATTCCAGTAGAAAAAAAGTGTCTACAGAGAGCTCTGGCAGAAAGATACAGGAGCTGCTTAACGTCTTACAATTTAAATTAAATTCATGGAAGAGGAATTGGTTGACCGAAAGCATTTCAAACTACCTTAAATGCTGCACAATGCACATTGCTATCAGTGTAACTACAGTACACACTTAAGAAGACAGACAATAAATTCAGAGCCTTACCAACAGTGGAGAACCGTATAGCAATGGGAGTTCTTTTCCCAATGTGTTCAAATACTTTTGCCTTACAATACTTGGTAATATCATGAGTAACTTCAAAATAGCCAAAGGCTCCTGGAAAAAAAGTAATTTCAAAAGATCAGCTCTAGATACCTTCCTTCCACTCAGTCCATTATGGTCCAACACACAACTTGAAGTCAAAAAGAAACATGGAAATACACCAGTTTGTTTTAAACAGTTTGTATCTATGCACTAAAACAATTCATTTTCACAAATTAAATAAACTTAAGACAAAACAGTATTTGCATAGTGCTCACTCTCCCCCTCCTTAATTGATTAACAGCCCCCAGCAGCAACACAGTCCTAATTTCTATTGTGCAAAATAATAATCAGTAGCTGTTTGGAAGCTCTTCTGCCAAGCATGCTTATCTCAGGTCAATCTCATCAGTTTAATCTGATGTGTTCCTGAATTTTTGGTCCACCTTTAAGCTGGATGAAGCAACAAATTCTTCCCACCCCCACAGAATAATTTTTTCCATTTATATCCATGTTATATAAAATTCAGTCCCATACTTTCTTCTTCTAGAGCAACATGCAATAAAAACCAGAGCTGCCAGTTCTACTCTACTAGGAGCAGTATCAAATATTTAAATTAGTTGTTTTTTTAATTTGTAATTAAGTATTACACCATCATCTTGCTTTGGCAGACAGATACATTCGATGACAAAGAATCTCTATCAACATGCAAACAGACATTAAAATAGAGTAAATAAATCTTTCCTTCCAGAGGAATGAAGTACTATGGAGGAACAGATACGAGATAGCAGAGATTACAGCACATTCAGTTAAAAATCTGAGGGCTGTAACTACACTTTCTCTCCGGTTTTGCTTTCTAACAGCTTTTCAGGGCTTCAAGTTTTGGCATTGAGTTCTTTTAAACCAGGCCTTATCACCAGTGTTGATATATAATTATCTACATAATACTAAATTATAGATAAAATGATGCAATTTATCTGCCACAATCTGTGTTAACCCCAAAGCTTTTTAAAGTCTAACTGTACACAGAGAAAAAGGACGTGCTTTTAAACATACCTGCCCCTTTTGCATGCACAACTCTTTCAGGAATCCTCTCTCTGTCAAAATGAGCCATCTCATCAGTGAAAACAACATCTTGAACAAGAAGAGGTCCACGTGGCCCTACTGTCAGAACATTAAGCTTATCCCCTACTGGGTTTCCAGCACCTGTTGTCAAGACATCTGGTTTCTGAAAGCAAGAGACAGTCAATATTACAACACCAGAAATTAAACACCCTCTGTCTTTAAGTCAAATGCCTGTTCAACCATTATATGTCGCAGGATATACTAACAAGTATATAGCAACATTACATAGGAGTCTGGAACTAGTTACAGAAAATACAGATGTCTAACTACATCAGCACACCATCATGTCCGGGGCTATTTAAGAAGCAGAGTTCAAGTCATGCATAGTGCAAAAATGTATTCAATGGTTCAGAAACATTACTTAAGACAATCTATCTTGCTTCAAGAAAAATATGACATCAACCTTAAGTTAAGGGTCAGTTTGCCCCCCACCTCAACAGGAGAGGATGGGAAGAGGGCAAGCTAGAAAAGCTGTGGCTGCTGGAGAGTGATAACAGAGAAAGGAGAGGAAGGTGGTAATGTCAGTACAGGGATAAAGGTGTAAGGAAAGAATAAAGACTAAAAGAGGGTATCCGTGATTACCATTTGTCTGGAAGAGTCATGGAAAATAACATAAGCAAAAGCATCTGAAGAATCATCATTCTTGACCCTTGAACTATGGAAGTACCAGAAGCCCCAAGCAGCCCTACTGTTAAAAAATGCTCTGCCAAAAAGACAGCAAACCAGAACACTTTTTTTTACTAGCATCATTATTGACTTTAAAGAAACTGCTTGATACAGCCCATAATCCTCCACTTCCCTATCAAGTCTAAGTTAACCACTCTTGTAGGCTACTTGTACAGGAGGAATGACCCTGTACCTGAAAAAAACAGCCACTCCAAAACAACTTCAAGAAACAACAACAACAAAAAAATCCCTGTAAAAAAGATAGTGCCTGCATTACATATGGGGGTCACATATTCCTTCCTCTAAGATGACACTTCTGTTTTACTTGGTACTGTATAAAATGCTGTACGAAAGGTACATCAGCTCCAGAGACCTCATGGTTGCAAGGAGCCAAGGTGATTCTTGTAAAGGCTTCAGAAGAACAGAATAGAGGTTAGTACACGTAAAAAATAAAAAGATGAAAAAGTTCACAACAGGTGAGCTCCAATACTTGAGTCACAGATTACAACCAGTTAACACTAAATCCACAGTAACCTGCTGCACTAAACTGCCATATAGGCTCTCTACCCACGCCACCCTACCGTCTTCTGCCAGTAGCACCCACACATCTGAACCATGGGTAAATGCACCATGCACTTACTCATTCCCTCTTGACTACTTCTTCTTTCAAAGTTCTATAAATGAAGAGGGATGCTGAAGAGAAGGAAAAAGTAACTCTTGATGAGAAAGCCTTCATTCTTACATCAGCAACTTTACCAGGTTCCAATGTTTATACTGACAGTTTAGGTTCTACTTTAGATGTTTTAACTATGGTAAACTGGTAACATTCCCATCTGTATCTCATGGAAGATTATACAGAAGTGGACTAGCCTCCAGGGTTTTACTTTTTCAAGAGCCACCCCACAAAGGGAAAAGAACAATTATTCACATCAACATATATACAACTTTGTTTAACTCAGGTACATGAATAACAACATAAAAGACATTTGACAGGATAACTGCATTTCCAATGTGTTTTCACTAAATATGCAACATCTACTAGTCTAGCTGGCTCCATTTCCCAAAATATCTAGGTTCTTTATTCTTCATTCACCACTTCACTATCATAAAGCTAAAGATCTATAAGCACAAATTAAACTCCTTCAGGATGCCTGAAACCCTGACCTACACTGAAATATGTACAAATGCTTTAAAGACACAAGATATATCTGGTTACAAACAGTAACACGATGTTCAGAAACTCACAGGAAAGTTACCATTTCAGCTTTATTTGAAGTATTTTAAGTCAAAGGAACATCTGCCTAAATCAAAACATTACTAACAGTTTGTCAAGGGAAATATGCAAGAGCAGAAACTGTTCTCAGTATTCTTTCCCCTGCTTATACATTGCATGCTTCCTGCCTTGTATTTTGCTCACAAATTAACAATCATTTGCTCATTATGAAAGTTATAATCTACCCATCTCAAAACCCATTTTAAGCCTCTACTTTGACATTTCTTAGAAAGTCATACAGCCCACAGATGAGGAGAATATGAAATGCTCATACACCACATTTTTAACTCAACTTTTTGATCAAGACATTTTTTTCAGAATTTGCTTAGGTAGAGCTACTTTACTTTTTTTAATCCAGCTTCCAGAACTGCCTGTATTTTAATTTTCTCTTCATTAGTTTTGTCAATTAAAACTTTCAGATTTCTCGAGCTAAACCCCATAGTTTTCCTAACCAGAAATTTGTTGATTTTTTTGGTAATTGGTGTCTGTCACACTCATTTAAGACAGGCAAGATCACTGTAATGTGATGGAAAGGAACAGATCCTATGAATGGCATTCTAAGCTTCTGTATTTTCCTCTCCAGTCTTCCTGTGTTACTATCATTGAAGATATTTCTATCCTTCCCATGTGTTCTGTGTACACACAGACTTCCACTTCACCCCACTGCTACACAAAAATCCTGTGTACAGCTCCAGCAACATTTATGAATTTTGAATACTATAATTCTAAGAAAAGCAAACTTGGGGACTGGATTCTGGTAATGCTGTTTTAACAAGAGGCATAGCTCTTAACACCCCTTCAATCCATACAGTGACTTCTTGAAGTCACCAACATTTATGTCATCTTGAACTTGCAACCAAGTTTCACTCAGCCTATTGAGAAACTTAGGGAGAAACTGATTCTGTTGAATCAGAGCCCTGTTTACCCTGGAGCTCTTCATTAATTCTGACAAGGCCAGTAGGTTTAACCATGCAGTTGTAAGAATACAATTCATATACCTACACCTATGATCTTCTTCTCTAGAAAGCCCTTGCAAGAGATTGGAAAAAGACAGAAGGGGGGGGAAAGTGAAATTTCAGTCTTAACGAGACTTTCTGAGCTCTTTTGCTTCACCTATACCATTATAATACCCTTCATGAGACATGCAAGGTTTTTTCTACCCTTGAGGTAATTATTTGTAAACTATGCATCCAACAAAGAACAAGGTTGTGTTACCTTTGCAAACCTTTTCTCAATCCAACAGGCTACACTGTTGCCTGAAAATCTCTTCCCCCATGCTAACATTTAAGACTACTAGAAGTAGCAGCAAAACCCAGAACTTTTTCAAATGACACCTATAAGAAAAATTAACAGCTTTGACTGTTACATTTTTTGAGACTCCTTTGAGCACACAGACTTTTGGAAAGGTTCTTTCTGACATTTACATTAGAGATACAAGCTGTTTTACTTTTTTTAATGGTAGGATATATTTGCTTTAGTTTCAGGATAATGGTACACAGGGCATAAAAAACAAGTTCCATCAGTATGAAGGGAGAGGAAAAAGAAACACAGCAATTGCAAGAAGAATTCTCATACTACTTCTGGACTTGAATTTGTTTGATGCCTATATTTTCATACAGCTAGAAGCTGCATACAGTCAAAACCTTAAAATATAAGAACTGTCCAATCTGCTTATGTATTTCATTACAGCACTAACCTGCCATGACAGAAAGAAGGGAAACAAAGGCAGGAGAATTATATTCACAGTTGTTATACACACCATACACCAAAGTACATACTTCCAGGCATTACTGATACTTTGCACCTTATACAAATCACTTTAAAAATTCTAGTAAGTCCTCTCTACTTTTTATCTTAAGGTCTCATGACTCCTTATGCAACACAGACTTTGGGTTGCCTCCCAGTCTTCTAAATTAACCTTGGCCTGGGTTCAAACATTGCTTTGCTACAGAAAAGCCAACATTCATATATGAAAACTACTACTCATGGTACAAGGGGAAAATATGCCAGAATATGATCAAGTCACAATTCATTACTGGAAGGTAGCTTTTATACAGTATCTTTTAGAACCAAGAGGAAAAAACCATAATCAAGATGACATAACAACTACAAACAGTGGGAACTGAGACATCCACTTATGTCTTGTAAGGCTGCTGTTCAGTATAACCAGCTGAAGAAGTATTTACTGTAAAATGCACACTTCTGACAGAAAATACATAGAAAACGTCACAGGGATTTGATGAAAAAGAATGGAAAACAACTCCTGCAGCATTTACATATTTACCTAAGTATTTTGGGGTATATTCTACATCTACATGTTCTCATGACTTCAGCCAAGCACTTGCCCAAATCCCAGCTGGTGAACAAGTCTCCACGTGTTGCTGAGTGTACCTCATCTTTCATACTGCTCCCTATCTACATTGTCACCGGGTTCTATCAGTGCAACGGCAGGACTCCAAATGCGAACATCTGACTTGAAAAGGCATAAAACCCAGTAACGTCTCTGCCCAAGCACCTGCCAGCTTGGGCGCAGGCAAGCTCCATTCCCAGCCAAAAAGGAGAGGCTACGGACGAGGAAGAGTTACCGAGCAGCAGTGCCAGGAACGCTGACCGCCCTGATCACCCCTGGCCAGCTGGCAGCCCCTTCGTGCTTCGCTTTTCCCGGGCACGGAATCAAGCCGAGCTCCGCCTCGCCCTCCGTCGCGGTCCTACGGGACCACCCAAGGGCGGCTCGCGGCCCAGCTTCCCCCCTGCCCTGCTGGTCCTCTCCCCGCGCCCTGCCCCGTCCTC